TTTAAAATGACAGTAAAAATACTATATACCAGGATTTATGACCTGCATTCATGATCAGAGGAAAAGTAGTTATAATAAACACATCAATTTAAATGAAAAAATAAAATTAAATGAGTTAAATTTCCTTCTTAAGTGATAAAAAGAACAACAAATAAATCAAAAGAATGCACTGATGTTGTGTTCAATGTATATAGAGGAAATACTTAAGACAATTGGATTTAAAAAATGGAGAGGCAAAGGGACTTAAGTGGGGGCTGGCCCAATGGCCAAGTGGTTAAGTTCACGCTCCACTTCGGCAACCCAGGGTTTCCCAGGTTCTGATCCTGGGCATGGGCCTAGCACTGCTCATTAGGCCTTGCTGAGGCGGCGTCCCACATAGCACAACTAGAATATACAACTCCGTACTGGGGGTGCTTTGGGGGGAGCTAGAGGGGAGAAGAAGAAGGGGAAAAAAACTAATAAAACCCCAGAAGATTGGCAACAGATGTTAGCTCAGGTGCCAATCTTTTTTAAAGAAAAGGAACTTAAGTGAAAGGAATGTTGTGTTATACTTAGAGCAACCACTGAGAAAACCAGAGTGATATATTCAAAACGCTATAAATAAATCAGTATGGAATCCTAAAAACTGTTCAGATAACCCATAGGAAGACAAGAGAAACAGAGCTAGAAACAGAAAAGAAATTTAAAAAAAAAAATCCTATGCCTGTCATTAATCACATGGCTTACAGTAGACAAGATACTGATTCTATCTCAAAATCTTTTTTCCCTCTTCATTTTTGGCTGAGAGTGATAACAACAGCTGTAAACAAACATGCTACTATAAGCATTCTGTACATGCTCGCGTACCTCTTCACAAGTTTCTCCGAGTTTGCACATGCCCAGGGATATACACAGACTTTCCTAGTTATGGATAATTTTAAGGGAATGAATTTCTGGGCTGCAGTTGCCATTTGTATTCTCTCCTTGCATAGGAAAGTTCTCTTCCCTCTCCTTCATCTCCTTGAAATAGCTTCCTCCCACTCGCCAGAGGACTCTTGAGATGGTGCAGTGCCCAGAGCATAGCTCTGTGGGACAACACACCAAAGGACTACTGAATGAGTCTTTCCAAGGAAGCCTTTGTTACTGATGAATGAAAGGACCCTAAGATGTGGGGCTTCCCTGTCTTTAGTCATATTTTCTGTTAACAGTGAAGTGTCACATAAGAAATGGTGTATATAGGACCTTAGGAGGCTCTGAAACCAGATATTTCAGCAAGGTAGGAGTGATGGCAATAGTCTCTCTTTTAACAATCTCTTCTCCTCCATTCCACAAACACTGTCAAATAATGTACTGCTTTTGAGAGAGTGCATGATGAAAGGAGGTCTCTGGAGAAAAAATATCGAATGCTTAAAATGATGCTCACACATATACACACATTTTTAAATGTAAGCACTACTCTTCAGCAAGAAGTGATAGGAAAAGTATTTCAAAATGGATGCCAGCTAGTCAGAGTCAACCACAGTGCATTTACCTGTTCATGTCATCCCTGTCTTCAGTTCTGCTCAATACTCAGGGCCCAGTACAGGAGGGCTCATTAACTTGGAACGAACAGCAACTTTAAATAGCCACAGCTGCATGCTAATGACTCTTGTTTTGTTTTTCCCAATGCTTCTTTTCTAGTATACCGTAAAGTGCAGATTTTAAGTTTATATTTTCATAAATTTTGATAAATTTGCTTGACCCTAAATAAGGCATGGAATAGTCCCATCATCCGAGAAAGTTGCCTTAAGCTACTTTCCTTTCAAAACTTCCCACCCAGAAGCAACTACTATTCTGATTTCTCTCACCATAAATTACTTTTGCTTGTTGTAGAACTTCATATAAATGTAACCATAAGTATGTACTTTTTTGTGTCTGCCTTCTTTTACTCAACATTTAATATGTGAGATTTTTCCATGATGTGCTATGTATTAGTAGCTCTTTCCTTTGTATTGTTGCGTAGTATTTCATTGTGCAAATACACAGTGATTTGTTTACTCATTTCCCTCTTGATGAACATTTGGATCGTTTCTAGGCTAGTATGAATAAGGTTGTTATGAACAACAGCAACAAGAAAGTATGAAGAAGGAAATTATAAAGATGAAAGCAGAAGTTAATGAGAAAAGCATTAGATCTAATTAATCAAATCTTTAAAAAAACTTCTATCTCATTAAAAAATACATTATGACCAACTGGGGTTTGTTCCAGGAATGCAAGGTGGATTCAATATTAGAGACTTTGTTAGTATCATATACCACGTTAATAAGTCTAAGGAAACCATATCTCCAAAGCTATCATTATGATAAGATTATTTCTAAAGCTAGTGTCATATATAATGGGGACACCTGAGAAACATTTCTACTGAGATCAGGAACAAGGCAAGGATGCCCACTATTTCTACTACTTTCCACATTGTATTAGAGGTTCAATGTAATTAGAAGCTTAAGGAGGGTAAAGAAGAAGCAAAACTATGTTTATTTGCAAATAACAGCGTATCTGGAAAACCTCAAAGAATCAATGATTAAAATCAAATAAAGAATTCGGTCTAGTAGCAGGATATAAAATTACATGCAAAAATCAATACCCTTCATAGAATCAAACAGGAAGTAAATAGAGGACATAATGGCAGATAAAATCCCTTTTATTACAATGTCATAGTAATTTATCAGATGATATGCTTTTCTTCTTACTGCTTTTGGCTTTCCCTAAACCAGTTGTGGTGCTCTTCCCAGGGAACATTGGGCAATGTGGTTAGATATTTTTGATTGTCACATTGATGTGTGTGTGGGCGCTATGGGGTAGAGGCCAGGGATGCTGCTAAATACAGCACAGCCCCTGACAGCAAAGAGTTCTTCAGTTCAAAATGTCATTAGTGCTGAGATTGAGAAGCCCTTCATAAACATGTCTGACTTCCAGTGCCTTTGTTTAGAATTGTGGGTTGGTGGGGTTTCTGTACCTTTCATTAATACATTAATTAATTACTCAAGTTTAAGGGTAAACTTAAATTTGAGTAATAACAAAGAATAGTAAAAGAAGAAGCACTTTTCTTAGTAATGGACAGTGATGGAAATAACTTATTTTACATAGCACTGAATAGTACACAAAGTTTCCTAGACTTCTTATTTGATCATATTACATTTATCTCATAAAAATATTAAGAAGATCAAAATAGGTATTCTTATCCCTATTTAACTGAAAAAGGAACTTAGCTGTTTATTCTAATCTTCAGGGACTAAATCACTTATGATAGATGGGTAGTTAGTTACAGAGTGAATGCTTTGTTCAGTGATCTTACCTGCGTTGTCTTTTCCAAAAGCTCATTTTAATGCCAGCTAAATACTAGAAGGATAAGTCCTGGGTATGGAAAGTTGATACCTAGTCCATATTTTTCTTTAATTGTTATCTTGTTAACTTCAAATCAGTGCTTCCAATAGAACTTTCTGTGATGATGGAAATGTTCTATTAACAGTTTGTGGTGTTCAGTATAGTAGCCACTAGCCACATGTGGCTATTTAAATTTACATTAATTAAGATGAAGTAAAAGTTAAAATCCAGTTCTCTTCAGTTACACCAGCCACATTTCACGTGCCCAGTATCCTTGGATTATCTTCTAATCAGTAGTTCCCAAAGGAACTTTACTAAATCAGTAGCATTTTTGTTTAATTTTAAAATGGAGATTGTCTGGGTCTATCTTAGCTTCTGCCCATTACTGGAGCTTTGGTCACGGTTACTTAAGCCCTGTGGGAAAGGAGGACATTGTTTTTTAATCTCTCAGTAGGAAGTGAATGATTGTCTATCCCCATGTTGATATCCCTCAGCCAGTTTCTTTCACTCACACCTTGGCCGTTAGCTGAGTGTGTGTTGTTAATGTGCCAGCTCCTGGAGTCCTGATAGGAATGGAATGCCTGTTTGTGCAGTGGGAGGGCACGTCCCTGGGTGCACCCTGCATTGGTGTGCTTTCAGTCCTCCCGTTCCATCTCCTTTAATTGCAGCCGTTGGCTTCCACTAGACTTTCAAGTTACCTTCTGTGACCACTGAGGGAGTTGGAGTTCTTAAAACCTCCCTGCCTCTTTGGGAACCCTGGGAATTCTCCCAACAGGTGTATATCTCTGTGTATGTGTGAGTGTGTGCGCGCGCGCGCGTGTGCTCGCACACCTGTGTGCGTGTGTAGCGGGAAGGTGGGCCCTACCACGTGGTATAATGTTTCTGACATTTACATTTGGTGCATAGAAACACTGCATAAGGAGTTCTGTAGTATTGTAGAGTTTTCAGTTATATTATGCTTTACCTTTTGTTGGTAGGTGAACTTGGAAACCTTACTGCTCTTTATTGCAATATATCCATGGGAAAGTGTTTCCCAACTTAGTTATTTAATGTTACCTGAAAATTTGGGAGGTATTGTTTGTATATTAGAGCCCATGTATGTATTTAAAAAGTTAAAATTTCTCTAGTTTTTAATTTCCAAGTCAGTTTATTTCTTGCACATTAAAAGAGAAGAAAAATATTTAACAGTTATACATTGTGCCTGTCATAAGGTAGCAGGAAGAAAAAGTCCATTTTGCTTTGATGATTTAGAAAGACTTTAGATGGATTGTTTTCATAAAGTAATTTAACTGCGGTTTGAACTTTTCCCTGTCATTTCTAGTTTAATATCCTTTTATCACAGTTCTATCCTCAATTTATCTTTGTGGTTTAATTAATTTTACTCTCTGACTCAAACGGTGAGATGAAAACAGTTAAATTGTAAAGTTGTAGGTTGAAGCAGTCATGAAACAAAAAGATATAATACTGGACGTTTTCTTCTTTTGGAACTTCCAGTTTTCTGAATAGATAATTATGGAGTTTATAGCTTATTCTGCATGTCTTAGAGTAGCATAGATTTAGTTATATATTTCCCCACCCTTGCCCATCCAGTTATATTTTGGTTTGCAAAGCAATTGAGGGTATTACTAATGTATTTTTGTTTGTTTGTTTATTTTCAGAGGGAAGTGTAACATTTCCCATTTTTCTGACATATTTGCTGCTAGAGAGTTTAAAGCCCGAGTGGATTCATTTTTCTACATATTAGGCTACAACCCTGAGACAAGGTAAGTGAGTCACTTGGGCCCACTCAGTGAGAACTTTTACTTTTCTCACTTGTATGTGTGTGTGTTTACATATCTGGGCATATACTAATACAATTTTAAAAAACGACCTTAAAATCCTATAGTAAATCTTTTTGGAAGGAGTTCTAGTTAATGTCTTTCGTGTCTAAAGCATCTTATTGTCTGTACTTTATTTTTTTAAGAAAGGAAAACTGAGAAAATTTGGGTTTAGAGAGGGCAAGATAAAGACATATGTTTAGTTGATCTGTGTTTTGAACTTATGAATTGGCAGATTATTACCTTAATGCAGATTATTACCTTAATGCACATTCTGTCAAGCCTCCCGTGTTACCGTATTGTAAACACTGGCACATTAAGGAAAGTTTGTTGGTTAGTCATTTGTTTTGTTCACTTAATAAAACCTGAGGAACACTCACTGAAATATTTCTAGTAAGACCACTAGTAGGAGATGCATACATCCGGTTCTCAACCATCTTGGTAAGACTTATGTAACAGGAAGAATTATTTTTTAAATGAAAAAGTCAAAATAATTTACCAGAATTCTTTGTTTTTGTCTGTACATAATTTAACTTAGACATGGAAGAACTTCTGTAAAGGTATACGCGTTTGTATTTATCCTGTACCAAACGTGTTTCATTAAGGGTTTTAAACATGTTAGCAGGTGATCGAGTAGTCTCTGCTCAGGACACCCAAGGCATAATCTACAAATATGAGGATTTAGAAAGAAATTAAAGATACTTGGCTCAAGGAAGTTAGTGGAAGAACTACATTAAGTGTAATTGCAAGATGGGTATTGTTTTAGTGAAAATGTTTTCCTAGAGGATGCCGAGAAATTATATGTAAAATTTAGAATGTTGCTGTTTAGACAGTCAACTTAGGGTTAATAAAAGGCAACGTATTCTTTTTTGTGGCTGTAAGAGATTGCATAAAGCTCTATTGGGGCATATATGTTAGTGTCACTATTTACTAGACAGCAGTAATAGGGGTAATAATGTACTGGTCACCTTTTTGCTTACCTTTTTTTCTTTAGAAAACAGTGAATTTGAGCTTTTATTTTTCTTTCAAAAGTATGCCCTTTCCCAATGACAAAGCTGATCGATGGTAATATTTCAAAAGCATCTTACATTTTGAAATGTTTATTTCATATGCACATTTATTGACTGCCTGGTCATATCTTCCTGTTGCCCAAGTGAAGAGTGGAACACTTGAACTTGGGTTTCTGTCTAGATACAAAGGAGCCTTTTGTTTCACTGATGCCCTGTTTATTAAACTATCTGATAACAGTTGTCATATTGCGCAAGTTAGATTGTATTAGCAAATTGACTAAATAGCTTTTGTGTTTCAAATGTTTAGCTCTTGAATTCATAACAGTCAACCAAATTTATTTTTTACTGGTTTTGGTTATGCATCTGTTTTTGCTAAGTGTGTATTAAAAGTGATATATAACTTAGCTCTGTAAAGTAGAGACTCATGCAAGTTCCCGTTTCATTATTCATTGTGTGTTGCTGGCGGTCATTCAGAATGATACTTCCCATCAATTTTGTTTTAAAATGTGGGTCAGGTATACAGTACAAGGATGTTATTTTTCTCTCACCTGAAAAAGCAACACAAAGAGGTGCCTATACCAGTGCATTTATAGGATTTGCATCCTGAATCACTTCTTGTAATGCTTTGACTTTCCGAGTCACCATTTACTTGTTTCTGTGCTTGTGTTCTCATGTCCAGCTTGTGCTTGGTGTATTGTAAGTGTTTGAGGGATATTGGATGACTTGAACAAACATTTGAACGTCTGCCTCAAGTAAAGTTTGTGGCAGATCTCAAACTTCTCACAAAGTGCGTGTAAAACTTTGCAGCAGTGGAGCCAGTGTGGCCGCTTGCCCTAGCTCACTGGTTTCACCCTGAACTCCATTTTATACCTCTGAAGTTTGGGGTTGTGTGTACAGTTCCTACCGCTTCTCAAATGATGAATTAACAGAGAGTAGAAAAACTGTGTTTCCTCCATCTGGCTTATGTGCAACCCGATCCTTAGAATACTCAGGGTACACACCCTTGCAGAATTTACCTCCGTTTCTGTCTTTGTTTCAAGTTTGTGGGGAATGGGGCCATGTGATGAACTGGTTTCTGGTATAATTCTGCTCATTTGAATGAGCGGGACTAGCGTCTAATTGTGGCTGCATGGGGCTGTGTGCTGACTCTTAGTGCCCTGAGTCATTGGAAAGGAAATGTCACACTGTTAGTAATAATCCTGTGAGATAGTGCATATATCTGTAAGAGCGTAAGTTAAATAATGGTGATTCTGTGACTATAAACTGTCATGACTTTCCCCTCCCCTTAAATAATGCAGGAATTTTACTCTAAGTGAGCAGTTGAAATTGGAGCTTCAGATGGATTTATTTCTGATAGTAGTTAAAAGTTGATTTATGTAATATTCCATAACTTATTTAGCGTATTAGCCAGCACTGAAAGGTGGAGTTTTTTATCATGTTTATTGCATAGGTCCTTTTCGAAAAACCCCAGTATTTGGCTACTATTTTATTTTCCCCCTAACCTGGTTATTATATTTCTGAATGTTGTGTGTTGTCAGAGGTCTGGTTGTCCAGAACTTTTTGGTTTTGATGGTATTAATTTATTGAAGACACGTATGATAGTGGGAAACAGATTTTTCTATACTCTTTGGTTCATTGCCTTTAAAATTTGGGGAGGGTGGATTTCTTGGTAATTGGCATGGAATTACTATGTTATTAGGTATAAATTTATATTTCATTAATTTTTTTCTACCCAGAGTACTGATCATTAGTACTAATAAAGCATCCACAATAATCCAGATCTATAATCTCTCATCTTCAATTCTGAAATCTGAAAGCTCTGAAAATAAAAAAAATTTTATGCTAAGCTTGGTGCTCAAACACATTTGATGGTCAAACTTGACCTGAACTGATGTGAGGCTATTTATATTCCTAATTTAGTTCACTCTCTTGTGAATTTGTGCAACTTTTACCACAGAAGTACCAATTCAATAGAAGAGAGGTTATTGCTCAGACACTGCAGGGTATTACATACTATGTGGTGTATTCGCTATTAGTACCTTTCTAAATCCAAAAAGTTCTAAATGCTGAAAATCCTCTGACCCTAAGAGTCTTAGCAAAGGATTGTGACACTGTATTTTTGCTTGCCATGACATGAAAGGAACACAACTTAATTGGGTGAAAAATTTGGGGGCAGATGCGTCTAGCTTCAAGTAGGATACAAGCTACAAGAGGCTGACAAATGAGAAACTTGAATCTAATGCTGGCCTCAACTTGAACCCTTAGGTAATTGGGCTTTGCTTTTGGAGTTTGTTTTGACATTTCTGCCCTTAGGGAGTGTTCACTTTCCCTATATGAACAAGATTCATCTCAAATTTACTTCTGCAGACAGCATACTCTGCAACATAGTGTCATTATGTTCTTATTTTGTTTAAAGGATCTGATCCAGTCTGGTTAGAAACTAAATCAACTCAGTATTTTTCAGCTCAGAGATCTTAGTATGTAAAGCCAATTAGACCTTATATACATCTGACCAAAACACCAGTATCCGTGGTTGAACTAAAGTAGGTTGGGCTTAGCTTATAAATAGAGACTAGCATGGAGACATGGTTACATTCATCCTTTTACTATCCTTAGTTGCTTTTTCGTTTGTCCAGTACACATTGCCATTTAATCTGACTGCTCGATCCTTTTGTTAAGATCGACAACCTGGAAAGATCTCCCCTCTTGGACCCAGGAAGCCTGGGTTCTGGTCCTCTGCTACCACTTCATCTTTGTGTCTGTGGGTAAGGCTTGTACTTCCTGGACTCTGTTTCCACCTCAGTAAAATGGGGATGGCAAAAGCTACCCTGTACGTAGCTTTTGTTAACTGTCAGGTTTTTTGTTGCTTCTTGGGAATTGCAGCAATAATTATAAATTTCTTTTGAGGAAAAGGTTGAAAAATATCCAAGTTTTTTTGTTTTTAAACCTTGTGAAATCTTAAATCGAAAAGCAAAACATAAACTACTTCCCAAGATATCTTGATTCTACCAGACCATTAACCACCTGGTTGATTGTGCTGACATATGGAAGTCTGAGCACTGGGGATTCTTGACTCTGCTTGGAATATTGATTGTAAAATTCATAGAAAATATGTAACAGTTACTAAAAATGTAGATAAATTTCTTCATTGACCTTAATGAAACTGACCCAACAATTATAATGAATATGTAAGTGATATTGATGTGAAATAATACATTTCTACAGTCAGAATATTTCAGTGAAAAATCTGAGAGAACCAAAATTGAAAAAAAATTTTATTGGGAAAAATAGATTTGGGCTTTTTATAGCAAATGAGTTTATCCCCTATAGTGTGTAGGTTTTATTGAAGTTTTGATAGTCCTTTTTCCCATCTTCCCATCCCCCCCCACCTCAGCAGGTTCAGCCTGTTGGCCAGTGCCGTTTTTACTGTACTTTCTGACCCTTTCTGAGTGTGTATCTTTCTGGGTGTATAGTTTTCCTTACCTTTCTGCCTCAGACCAGTGAGTTAGGAGGGGAAGGAAGTAGTGGTGAGTGGAGTCCCAGTAAGAACAAAAGATTCCATAGTGACCCTTTGGGAGGAGATGTCTTTATCTTTAAATTATTAAGCATGAAGTTTCCCAGGGACCAGTCCATTTGTTTCCCCTTGCTTAATTAGAGTTCTTTAGTCCCTAAAGTGCATTTAGGGGTGGTGAAGAAAATTATTATTTAAAATGTAGCATTTTGTATTGATGCTCACTGATCTTTCTTTCTTTCTCTCTAATACTATCTTATAAAATCTTCAGTGGTCTCTTCAGAGGCTTGGTCTGCAACATGAAACATCTAGTTATGTTCTTGGTCCTTTGCTTCTTGAACATGAGTCTTCTCTTGCTCATCAGGTAGAAAACAAGTTGAGGGCTCAGATCTGCTTTTATCACCCAGGATAGAAGGTTCGTGATT